AACTCTAAAATACATGGGAGTGAATTTTTGACCAATTAAACAATTCCGTAGTAAATAGCAAAATCGGCTATTTACAATTACTCAAAAATCAAATAAAGAACAAGCAATAAATCAGGAACTCCGTGAAGACGAGGGGTTCGATTGTCCAGAATTCTTTTATCTGAAAAATGTTCAGGAAAGACTTAGTAAGTGTGATATAACAAAACCTTCCTCTATGCAAAATTTAATCGATATAATGATAATGTTATGTATGAGACCGGCAGATGTGGGAAACCTCTGTATTAAGTATTATAAAGCAGATACTACTGAATGGTATAATCCTAAATATTCTTGGTACTGCACTGGATATGCCAAAAATAAAAAAGACGAACCTAGACCATTAGTATCTATGGAGAAAGATCCACTACTGGCTAGAGAATTACTTATTTGGATCCAGAAAGCAATTCCTAATAAATTCCCATTTTTAATAAGAGATAAAGATGGTGATGTAAACGTCCACCCAATTAATAATTTTCTAGCAATTTATGGAATAAGCTCATTACATTTGAGAAAAATTGGTTATGAACATGCTATTACAATTCATGGAGGTAAGAACGATGCCCATCGTAAACGTCTCCGTCAATTGGCATTAAGACAGAAGGTAATTAATATCGCATCAGATCATTATGGTATAATGAATAATAGACCAATTATTCCAGTACCTAAGCAAGAGAATGATGAAGTCGAGGATATAGACTTATACAATTACTAATCACGCTTCTTTGCTTTCACCACTTTCACAGTAAAATCTTTATCATCATTAGACGATTCAAACTCAGACCCAGATTCAGATGTGGATGAGGACTCGGATGCGGTATCGTTAAAAATTGGTTTTTTTCTAGCTTTGCATGGAATATGTTGCCGAGAAATATCCGGGTTTGCTATCGCGTTTATAATATTTTGCTGAATATCGGGTTTCACTATCTCCAGTAATTGGCGGAGAGAAATCCAGATTTTTTTATCCAATACTTGCCTACGAATACTGGATATTACCCCAATAGTATTCTGCTGATCTGTTAAAGACTTGGTTATTGTTTTGATACATCCACGTAATTCTTGCAAATTGATTGATGAATCTAACTCTTTACAAAATTCTTGAGACGAGATAGCATTGGCCGTGCCAGCTCTGTTGATATTATCTTTTATAACAGACTTAATATTATCTTCAGTCATTGTAAATGCGAAATTATTATTTATTAATACGAATTTAAAAATGCAGAATTAAATGTATTGTTATAATAAAACATCACGATGAGAATTTTATCTTGCGAAATTAATAAAGTACCAGTTAAAACTATATTAGATTCCGGTGCTAATTGTAATATTATAGGTGAGAGTATAGCAAAAATAGTAGGCTTGAAAATTGATAGGGGCAAAGTCCCATTGCTATGCAATAATAGTACATCTGATACAGAAATATACAGTCCCATTAGCGAGCTCAATATATTGGGAATAATTCGTGCAATGGAAATTTTGGTCCTGTCTCAAGATCGGAAATGGGAGCAAGTAAAAGTTACCAATGTTTTCATTACCAATAAACCCGAACTTGAATCTGTACTGATATTGGGTCAGCCATGGTTCCAGGAAAATGCAATGAAAGTGGACTTCCCAAATAAAACTCTTACATTCTTCGATGGAACTAGTTATGAGGTTAAGTGTAATTGAGAATATCTGGAAAATCCATAGTATATACGCCTAAAATTAATTATCCGAACTCAGTTATTTTTTTAGTTATATTATACATCATTAAATAATATTTACATGGTTTTCATAGAAACACTTGTAGAGGGAAAAATCCCAGTAAAAGCATCAATCGATACAACATCTAAATCCAATACCATTAGCAAGAACTTGTTCGATAAGCTTGAAGAAGATTATGGGTTGGAATGTTTATCTGGCGATGAATTGATCGGTGAAGAAATAAAAGGCTTAGATTTACAGTTTCACTATAAAGGAAAGTGGCGAAGCTTAGATTGTACTGAAGTAATAGACTTTCAAATTCGTAAAAATCCGTCATTCGATCTGGTGTTGGGGCAAGATTGGTTATGGATGCGTGAAGCAAAAATAAGCTTTGGACATTCTCCCAAAACCTGTGTCCGCCATGCTAAAATTGTAATAGATGGTATGAGCATCCCGTAAATTGATGAAGATTTTAACAAAGCCAGCTCCACGAAAAATAACTCACCTAAGACCGATCTATCATTGGAGGAGATCACGAATATAATTAAGAAATCTCTCTCAGATATCGAAGATAATAAGCACTGAAAGAGGCATCACGGAATATTTTGCAACATACCTACTGTATCTCCAACACCCAGAAGATCGAATAATTTCAATCAAGAAAATAAAAAGGTAACTACGACACATAGAAAAGTTCATATTCCCAAAAATAGCCGAGCTAGCAAGGATAAGAAATATCCTAAAGTAGATTTAAGCGATGGAGGTGGGAATCTTCCAATCAAAACGCACCTCAATAATATTTGGAAGTCGGTTCATTCTATAGAAAATGATATAGAGTATAGAATTTTTGAAAAACTTTGTATTATTGAATATGAACTAAGTTGTATAAATAATGCAAAGCTACCATGGATAAAATCTGAGACAGAGACTAATTCATCCAGCTCTGATTCAAAATCCACGGGTTCAGATTGGTATGATCTCGATCCAATAAAATCCCGAAAGAATCGTGTTCATATTAAAAAGAAAAAGGTTGACTCTCCTATCCGAAAACATCGTAAAAAAAAGCGTGTCAACTGTGTCCACATTCCAGAATAGTGATCCCTCCAATCAGAATAATTAAAAAACCGTTAATGGTCGGAAATTTATCAACCAATCACAACATGGGTAGGATCAGCATAGAAGTTCGTGGAACATGCCAAGAAAAAAATAATTACGATTGATATGTTTACAATATATGCGAAAATCTTATTAATCCAGATAACCAATGATATATTTACATCGGAGAATCGTGATTAAAATTTATATAACTACGAGATAATAATTCCACATAACATTTTTACTTTAGTGTACTATTCAGAATCGGATAACGGATCTTCAGCCTTTAAACCACGTCGGGCACGCGACAAATCTAAAAGAAAAATAGTTGATTATTAAGATCTGTTTTTTAACCCGCAAGTTATAATAGAATTACTTACCGATACATCCTCTCCTACAATCAGTGGATGACGGCGGAACTCGAATCTGATTGGCTTTCGGCCTGTCGAGATTGATTATCCGGTTTAATCCATTCGCATTATTCAAGTCTTGGTGGGAAACCGTAGGAACAGCCGATCCATTCACATCCCGCTCAATTCCATCTTTTCGATCTTTGTAAATCTCGGTAAAATTACGCAGATGGTGGAAGAACATACTATGGACGAAATATACGACGCTGTGCCTTATCCCTCTCGTGACAGGAAAATTGCCATGTAAAAGGAGCCGTGAGGAAAATGCAACAACTTGTCCAGGCCTGAGAGGTATTACGATCTGGAGTTGTGGGAAGCAAAGTTCGCCTCCATCAAAATCGCCCAATGCGACCAAACAACATAAGGAATTTGGATCATCGTGCTCGTCCCAGTGATAGTCGCTTATCGTATTAAAATTAATAGCGATCATAGGGAAGACACCGAATGGCTTTGGCCCAAATACCCCCCATGATAACTTTTCTAACTTCTCATATAACTCCCCATAATATTCTCAGACGAACTCATTAATAGAGGTTGACAACGGTTCCAAATCACAAAGTAACGTATCGACACATTCTTGATGCTCGACGTTGGGGGCACTTGCGGTGTTGGAACTTGTGTAAGGTAAGAGGTTATTTCACGCGTATACACTGAAATGTTCGATCTTTTTTTTATTGTTATGTATTGCGGAATATTTAGAGCCAAGAAAAAATTTAGGTTATATAATGGTTTTTTGCTAAGACATGATGAAAATTTCACTGACAGGTCATTGGGAAAACCAAGTCATGATTGTAACAGAAATATAATAACTGCGCATTCTTAATTCTCTGTTTTCTTTTTCTTTGGTTGCTTTGGTGGTGTTTCGTTGGTCTTCATATTATTTGACAACACAGTTGGGGGAGTTTTAAATCCATCATTATCGTCATTAATAATAGTCTCCTCAAGTTCCCGGACCAAGGAATTAACCAAACCCTATGGTTATCCATTAAAATAATAATCAGAAATTTCCAACGTCATAAGTTGATAAAAATCAAACTCACCCGAATATTCCATGCTACTCTTAATGCAACTTTCAAGTAGTGATAGGTTGGAAATGTGAGTGGGAGGTTAAAAGATTTTAGGTGATGGAGGAAGTATATCTCACGTCTTTCCATTAAATAGACTCGAATCTCTGTCATATATGACTGAGCCATACAAGCGAAATGTATAAGTACAACAGCCATTCATGAAGCAAAATAGTTATTATACTGCAAGTGTACCTGGATTCCTATTATATACGGTCGTAATTGATCCTTTCCAGCCTTAAGAAGCTTTAACTCCAGGTCATCAAGCATATCCTTCATTATTCTTGGAAGGTTGAACTCGTCAGAAGCAAGTTTAGTTAAATTGTAGGAATAAGGTCCACCGCAAGCTAGTGCACAGGCAATCTCATACTGCTCATAATTGCATAAAAGATCCACCTGGTGGCTTCGTTCAAGCTGTTCGATGAGTATATCCTTATCATTATTTCGGCGACGTAGGGATGCTAGGACAGAAATCTCCCCCCTTTACAACATTGAGGATAAGGGGAAAATTATTGCGTTATGTATGCACGATAAATGGAGAGATCTGCAACTTACCATGGAACATAGAAATTGCCATCTAATTCACCAGTCCATTCTCGTTCGTGACAATCATTTTGCAATGGATTTCGAAATAATTCAAATGCATCCAGACTATAATGGTAATAAAACAAAAACCAATTAAGCACGTCACAATAAAATTGTAAATAATGGGAGACCCATAACGTACAATTGTCCTGTTACTCGTTCAACCCAACGTCTTATTTTTTTTCCCAGTCGTTCTCTGTATAAGAGAACTCATTGTTGTATTTAGGAGCAACCAAATTTCTTAGTTCATACCATTTTTTGCGAGCTTGTAATAGATCCATCTAAAATAGGAGAAAAAAATCAGAGGTGTCAACACGGGATAAAGTTCACTTTCCCTTACTTTTTGGCTAAATAGGTGAGAAATAATAGACTCGATTTCATGATGGTAAGATTTCCGGACCGCATCAGGTCTTCTTTTGACTAAATTGGCCCACTCCTCATTACTAAATTGCCCTCTTATTTTTGAAGATAGCGACAAATCCACAATGAAGCTATGGGCTGGACTAGAAAAAAAAAGACAAAAAGTAAGCAGTAGTCAAAAGATATTATTGACCCACCATTACAACTTACTCATATAGTGAGGTGGATTTATTTGCGCAATATTTCTTCAAAACAGATAACAAAGATGACGAATCACTTGATGTTTGTTGCTGTGAATAAGACTTGGAAAAGATACCAATAAGGGAAGATGACACATAATTGGATGAATATAATTCCTCTTCGACTCTTTCTGCATCTTTATCTTCATCGTCATCCTTTCGCTCTTTAATTGATATAATTATTTATAAAGGAACCACGGTGTTTTACATATTTGCATCAATTTAACATACCATCAAAATTATCGTCATCTGCTTTGGGTACTGTATTTGTGTCAGACTAGAAGGAAAAAGAGCTCAAATGCTTACTATCAAACAAAAACATTTTACCAAGAAAATAACAAAAGATACTATACTTTTTTTTTATCCTCTTCTGAAATTATTGTCTCTTGTCTAAGGCGTTTGGATGAACGATCATTTTTCGCATCCGTACTTTCGACAAATCTGTCATATGCACGTGACTTCAGTTTCGATTCATATAATTTTTCTTTTGCGTCCACGAGATCTTGGCAAGACTGCCGGTTGCATTCATGTCAACCTGTCAAATAGGTTAGTCCATATACATGTATATATATAAATTTAACGGCGATTAATTAACGTACCTGCGTATCAAGTCTTTTAAAAAACGAGGTAACTTCTATGCGTTGAAATGAACGTTCCGCAGTATCATTCAGCCTAAGGGCTTTGTCTTTTGCTTTTTTAAGCGATGATGTAGATGAGATTATTGAAAATAAATGGTTCTTGTATTTGTCAAGAATTTCGTCATAATCTCCTGATGTCAAATGCGCACACACTTTTGCTAAATGTTCTAGACAACCCATATAACCCCAGGCTTCAACCTTTGTACTGCTGAAATAGGAAGAAATCCCGCTTGAAATATCCATCTATACAAAAAAGTTA